TCACCGGTGAATGTCAACAGATACCAAATACGTCGGTGAAAGATCGAATATTTCATTACATTGTTGTACAATCGGACCCTCTCCGGTGTATGTCGACAATCACAGATATGCTCTGGTGGAGGTCCAAAACCTGTCATTGCAAAAGGAAGTGTTCCACAAATAAATGCAGTTGTAAAAGCAAGGGACTCTTGTGCAATTCAAAGTGTCATAATAGTTTAAGTTGTTGCAATAAATAAGATTTGAATCACATAAGTAATTTTTTTATTACTATTATTTTCTTTTCTCATGTAGAATGTACCGTGTATTTTAAATTCTTGGTCATTCCTTTCAGAAAGAGAGGCGAAAAAGTTGCGTCACCCTTGTGGCGTTTTATAGCGACTGAATTACGGAGAAGAAAATATAAATCTCCAACATGTTCAACATTCACCATTAGTGCATGGTGAATGTCAACATTTACCGGTGTAAGTCAGAAATAAGGGTATTTAGCAAATATTTCGGACATACACCAAGCGACTCTGTGAATGTTGACATTCACCGGTGAAAGTCGACATTCTCCAAATTTCGGTGTTTCACTGTAACATATATACCCATAAGATATTTATGCACACGATAAGTTCAGATTTACGAATGAAATTCTGCTGTTATATGTTCAGTGTACAGAATTGAATCAGAATCACAAAAATGCAAGAAGGTTAAAAGACTGCCGAATTTAACTTTCCAATTTTGATTTCGACGACTAAATTACTACGATTTCATACGATTTTCGTGGTTGCTGGATCGACAATGTATTAAGGCGTTGCACACAAAACACAGTGTTTCTTTGCGTTCAATCGATATATAAAATAGACGTCGATGCCCTATATTGCGGAGGCGGCAAGAAACCATAATCTCTCGGAGAAAAATGAGTATGCTTTTTCCATCGGCCGCCTCGCCGGAATTGATAACAAAATCATCGCGGATAAGAACGAGGGAAGGTCCGCCGAGCGGAAAGCCTGGTTACCGTCACCGGGGAAATATATTTTTACTGTGCTTAATCCGAATATAATTCGGCTTTATGGTGACATTTAGCCGTGGCGCGCGTTCAAGGGAGACCGTGGCGCGGCGTTCCCGCGTGTGCGGTTAATTGTTAGACGCATGTGTTGGAGTCCAATTAAACCATTATACGGGGGCGCGAAAGGCGAGCCGCAGGGTCAGAGGGCAAGGGGAATATAAAATCTCAGCGGCGTGCGATATTTCACCGCAGGTCTCGCGTCAGGTTTCGCTCGCCTCGGCGTTTTACCTGCTTTTTATAGTTTCCACCGTTTCGCGAGTTATGCTATCAGGATTTCGCATTTGTCACGGTGCCTTAAGCCTAACCAGCATTCGACCGCATCGGTTTCCAACATCCTTTTGTCTCTGCTCGTCGAATTTAACGCGAAACCGCGGGCTCATTAATAAAAACTGCATATCCGATCAAGCCGCCGCGGCTTTGCATTTTGCTTCAACGTATTATGATTTAACGAAGACAATTTATTGAAATACGATTATCGGAAAGTAAAATTTTTCGACGAATTTCACTTCAATACGTTGAACATTAGCGAAGCGATTTTGTAATTAGTTGAAAGTTCTTTGAATAACAACGTTTTAAAGAAAAGATGTCGATTTCTCGCGCGACACTTTTTTGACCGCAGATCCTACGAAATAATTTGATTGAAAAAATACCGAATTAAGAGAATGTAATAATAAAAACATCTATAAATTGGCATTTCAATCGCCTGGATCTTCGGAATTATTCAAGCTTTGTAAATAATCGATCACTCGTACATTATTTGAAACGCTTCTTTCACGACGCAGATTGGCGAATTAATAATTGGCGATTACAGAGAACAGAACGCCGTTCAACACACAAGTGTCGCAATGACCGTGTAATTGATTTAAGCGCGGTGTAATAGATCCACGGTCGTTTCGCAAAACAGGGTTTGCGACGGAGCGACGTGTCAGGGGTAATAAAATTTTGAGAAACGTTTTTACCGAATTAACGCTCGCAAAGCCGGCAAAGGGACGATTCCATCGCGTTGAAAGCACGATAAAACGACCTATCGATCGGTAATACGTGTCGTTAATAATTGACGTCTCCCTTAAAGGCCGCTCTCTAAAAGCGTCGGCTTTTACTTTCCACTCGAATTTTGCCAGAGGTACCGCATAATCGACTGGCAATACCCCTCGTGCATTTGTTCGTTTCGCGATGTAATCCCTGCCCCGCTCTCCGAGCCGGCGTCATCACGCAAAATGACAAAAATTGACAAAGGTTTGCAACCTCTGCTCGGCGAGCGACGCGAGCCTTGCTTTCTGAAAATTTCGTGGAAAATTGATACCGTGTCGAAACCGATGGAGCTCGACAAATGTTAAATCTAGACGTACGTTTCACTTTTTACCCGGTTTTGGCTGTTGTTGTTGTTGGTTGGATATCATTCGCGTCGCAAGATCAGTGCCAAATAAACATACAAGTCGATCAAGATTCATCAGTTTTCTCCTTCATTTCTAACTTTCTTAATAGATAGATATTATGTAATATGCATGATCTAGTAAAACATGCTTTGTATGTTCTTTTTCGTAACAGGAAATAGGAGGAATAAAACCCGAAGATTTGTGAAGACCAGAGATAACGTTGTTCTACAAGATTAAAAAATGTAGTCAGCATTGTAAACGTAACGAGTAAACCGTGGACTTTTGTATATAATAAAAATTGTCTACCTGAGTTGCAGTGACCTGAAATAACTCAAAAGCTATTTCCTTTCTTAATAGGTGTTACGGACTGAAAAATAATATAAATGATATGAAAATATATTTAACACTAAACCTATCACGGTCAGATGAGCAGTTTCTCATTTTACGACTATGAAAATTATAAAAAGACTTTCATGGAAATTCATTGAATAAATTACATCATTGTGGCAACTACTATAATAAAAACTGTCTGGATCTAAATTAATTTAATCTTGTCAGTTTTATGAGGCAATGCACGCAATCAAGTTTATTACTCCGTATATTTAGTATTCAGTCTTTCGAATATTTTTACTGCCTGCCTTTCATGTTAATCTTGATCACAAATGCATAAAATCCACAGTGATCAAGAACACTAAATAATACTGAAAACGAAAGAATTTCAACGGTCAGAAAAGGATTGAATCTCGGATAGATACGAAATGTTTAGCAATGCGACAAATAGCGAATCAGGTCCGACGCAGCAGTTTCCATGCAGAATTCGATGGCCAGAGCTCGATACGGCGCTACGTCGCGCCGCGTCACGGCGAGGACCGGCGCCAGGCCATTTCTGACAATGTAAAATGTCGGGAAAGCGAGTCTGTGGCGAAACAACGTAAGAGTCACGGGTATGAAAACACGTTGCCCGTGAGGTTTTCCGGAGGACGGCGGGCGAGCAAAAGGCAGAGGGCGAGGTAAGGTTGCAATACCTGGCTACGCGGGGTGCGGCAGTCGTCTGTGAGAATAAGTTATGAACTCTATGCATTTTAAATGACTAAATCTCTGGACCGAACGTACTCTTTGCTGGATTTTTCCGCGAGAAATGCATTATTGGCCTGACAATCTCTCGGGGCGACGGGACGGTGCGCGCGTGCTGCACGAACCCTTATCGCGCATCATCTCCGCGGTTGGTTTTGTCTCTCGAAGTAACATTACGCACCCGTTCCTTCTTCCGGATCGCTCGGCTGTTCCGTTCTCATCGGCCTGCCCG